GATCGAACTCCCACAGTGTCATATGAGAAAAGTACTTGATCGAACATATTCATTTAGTTTTTTCTAAAAAGCTCGAAGGTGCTGTACCGTCGCAGAACACTCAAAACTAAAATTGCAAAAACACATCAATTAAATGATTTTTAATTATTAATCCAGTGAATTTTTGAGCTAAAGAATTACTATCTTACTTGTTCATATATATTTTTGAACTGCCGTCTTATTTAAAATGTATTTATTATAAAATATAAAATTTTTAATTAAAATGGTTTAATATAAACACACCAGATCGAGTTCAAGGCAGACGTGAGAACACAGTTCATGCTGGCAACTTGGAAAAAATTTATAGATGATTTCTTACCTGTTATTGAAAATTTTTACCTGTAGGTTTTAGATTATGAACATTTGTTTCGTTGAATCTATATACACCAATACACCTGAATTTTGATAAATACATTCTGTTGTAAATGGAAAAGATATTCCCTGCTGTTACTTTATTGTGATATTTGAAAAATATGCAAAGTAACTTCAATGATATAATAAAAGTGGTGTTACGAGATACTTTTAGCTTTAACTGGTCTTCTAATTAATAAAGATAACATACTGAAATAATAACGTTTAAAGTAAATCACTCCTACTAGGTAAATTTATGGTCATTACAATGTACTATATATATTTTCCAAGTGTTATTATTGATAGTTTAATCAACACTCACTTTGTCAACCCTAACTAATTTTAAACTATACCCAAACCACTTTTTGAAAATTGTAATAGATTGTATGTATTTTTGATAAACACTCTCAAAAATCTCTTGAGTATTCTCAAAAGTGCTTATATGGTACATATAGGTTTGGCTAATAGGTATAATGCTATTGTGATCTCAATTAAAATCATTGGCAGCTAGCATATAACATATGCATATTTTTGATTCTGTGAATTGCTATGACATTTGTATATAATCCAAGAATTCTAACATACATATATGGCCACTGTAGACTGAAGAATCACCTAACACAGTTAGGAATTCAATCCAACTCAGACTGCAGATACTGTAGAGAAGAGAGAGAAACTGCATACCATATGTTTGGGGAGTGCCGGGCACTGATGCCCAAGTGGAAGAAACACCTAGGAGGGTATTTCATGGATCAGAAGGATTCAAGACTAGGAAAGATAGGCTCTATACTGTCTTTAATTAAAAAAAAATTGGACTTGGAGAAACATTCTACTACGACTAAGGGGTATAATAGGTCTTTAAGATCGCAGTGCACTACCCCTTTTCAAAAAATAATAATAACATGCAAATATTCCTTTAAATACGATATTGCAATTCTATTAAATACAATTTCATGAATTGTAAACAATGGTTAACTGAATGCTGAATGTTAACGATGAGTACTTGGCAATACTCGAAACAAATTTCAATAAATTAAATAAAGTTTTTGTCCTTGTCTTTTTTTTGCTGTTCGAATCCGTCTAACGTTTTGACAACTATACATGTCTAGCTATATTTTATTTTCATTATGATTTTGATTTGATATTCAGATGTCTGAGTTGGTGCATCAGCACCTTTACTCTATTTTATCTGTGGACAGTTTTAAGTCACACTAAGAATAACTGAATACGGGGCTTTATAATATGATGGATCTGATGTCTTTGTATCTGCCTGTGTTTATCAAATTTCGCTGTATTTTTAGGATGTATGTTTAGAAATAGTTGTCAACTATACGTGGGTAATAAATCTTTCGCAGATACTCAAATTTTCAGTTGAGGATTATTGGTAGAAAGTTTGTTGGGTTGCATTTAAAGCTAGAACAAATTATCAGATATGTTTGACTTAACAATGTGTGGTTAGGACTTTGTATTTGTGTTCTTCCTCGACTTTGGCCATATATTAATTGATATTTTTACTTAAATATTTTCAGACACCAATATTCCACAATTTGTTTGATCGATTCCGATTTAAAGGTTATATATCCTATATCCTATAAGTGTTCTTGACATGTGTGCAATTTAAATAAATTAAGAAACTGTGACGATGAAGGATTGTCAGTGTGAAGTTATCCAGAAACCAATATTTTTTGTTACATCCTTTTGCTGAAAATTCTTTTAATTTTTTATTAATTTGCCTCAATTTGGCTAATTTATTTAGATGGATTCTTTTTGTTCAAAAATTGACTGCAGTTGCAGTTATTCTACGGTTTTGTTAGCACTTTGGCTGCTTTTATGAAATTATTTGACCACGCGTTGATTATGCGTTGCATTTGCCACATGTGTTCAAAACATCGGTTGCAACTAATTGGACTGCGGTAAATGCATTTTTCGCTATTTGCAAATTAATAAAACACCATTTTGGAAATGACAGACATCAGACAAAAGCTTCATATTTTAAAAAATGGATACCGAATGCAGTGGATGCAAGGACTCAATGAATTTAAATTAACCTCATTAGAGCTTAGAGTTGCATTCGCAACCGCAGATGCACTAAAAACTTTTTGTGTATTGTTTTCGCTTGTGGTATTTTAACATTTTAGTAATTTACTATTTTATAAATAATTCAAATATATATGTAAAAACCCTGAAGTAAGCAAAAAAAGCATATTTCTAAAAAATAATAAATTTGATTTGTATTGAAGTGCTCTGGAAAGTATGTGGTTTGTATCGAATGCATTGCCAATGTTGCAATACTACAATAATAAAAAAGAAATCATTGTATTCAAGTATTATTATTAATTGATTTTAAATTAAATTAAAAATATGAAAATGGCCAAAAATAATATTTAAAAATTCATTCGTAGTATTCAATATAATTGCATATTCACATAACACATATTAGTTTTTGCCGGTTATATACTACCTTCCTCTATGTTTTTATTAATTAATATACTTTTTTAAATAATTATCTTATACTTATACATACCAATAACATAACATAATATTAATCATTTTTTTTCTAAGTCAAGATAGTTTCAAATTATACTCTACTTATTGCAATCGAGGAACCAATCATACGAAACTTATATTTTTGATTGGTTTTTGCGACTTTTACCGACTTTGCACTCAATTGACTGCTGTTTATTTTCGGGTTCACAGTAATAAGTTCATATATCATTCATTACGAGAGTCACTATTTATACTTTGAGCCTTGGAAACACTGATTGTCAGGTGTGATCTGTTTGAAAATTTAACATTATGAAACATAATCTACCTCAGAGTTTTTGGCAAAGTAGCGATATTTGTGTTATTTACAGTGATTGTAAAGTGAGTGTTCGCGAAAAAATGGAACTAATGCGAGATATATTTCGTGCGATGATTTATTATGACTTTTGACATGGGTTATCCAGACAGAAATTCATCGATTCACTTATATTCACATTTGGAAGTGAAGCTCCATCTTTTGCCACAGTGAAACGCTGGTACTCGTACAATGATTTCGATCGTGGCCGCTGTTCGCTTACTGACAGAATTCGTGAAGGTCGTCTTAAATCACTTACTTTTGGCAGTGCCAAAAAATATTGATGCTTTGCAAAAACTGATACCGATAATGCAAGATTGTCATGCGACATACTATGCATTTGAGGGAACCCTAGACATTAACGATCCCAGCATATATTAAATATTTCACGATCATTTAGCCGTGAGAAAGGTTTGTTCTCGTTGAATCTTATCCCCCATCAATCGACAAAATCTCAAAAAGATGCTCGTGTTGATTAGTGTATATAAATTCTCAAGAAGTACGAGTAAAATAACAGTGCAACAAAATGTGATTCTAAGATTGTAACAGGTGACGAATCATTGATATATATGGGTATTTCAAAATGAACCAAATCCAATAAAAGTTGATAGCGCTCGAAGCACTTACAAACAAATGGTCGTTTGTTTTTCATGAAAACTGGTCATCGTGGTATAGTGGCAACTGTTCCATTACAAGAAAGTAAAACGATCAATTTCAAATGGTATACAACCATTTGTTTACTGGAAGTTTTCAATGAAACGCGGAAAACAACAAACAAGCTCCTACGATTTATACCCCATCTCCATGAACACAATGCGAGTGCTCACACATCTCGTCTAACAATTGACCATTTGAAGATTCAAAAAATAACCAATTCGAATTGATGGGTCAACTGTCGTACAGTCTTGAGTCCTGATTTGACACCCAATACCAATCAGTTCTTCTTGGTCCCGAACGTCAACAACAAGAATAAATTGTGTGATTTTCGTCGGCGGCAAAGGCCATTATTGCATTTAGAAACCTTGTTTTGGAGGTGTCTAAAGAAGATTGGCAAAAGTGTATAAATCATATAGGTAAATATTTCGAGAAACAGTATAACGATTTTCAACAAATTAGTATTTTTTCATAATTAGGCTCAAAATATAAATAGTGACCCTCGTATTACACATCAATGCAAAAAAATCAATTTGTTGTCTAAAAACTTTAAAAAAGCATTGGGCACAATTGATTATTTGTTGGCCTAGTCTAATGTAAGCAACAATTCATTTCATGGTTTATTTCGCGACCCATAAAATGTCCTTTACTCAATAATTGGATACCCCTAGGATACCCATATCACACATTTTTCTCTCCAAACCTTAAGTTTATTTGAAAGGATTTTGTGGACATTTAGCATTTTCTGTAATAATTAGAAAATTCATGTATACAAACACATATGAAAGTGAACCATCGATGAATTATATATCGATTAATTTGATAAAACAGAGCTGCTATACCTTCTTCGATCTATTGGGTTTATGTGACAGTTTTCTTCTTCAGAAAATAATGCTTTATTATACATGATGTCATTTTTTTATAACTGTATTGAAAGTACTAATAGTAGAATCAAGCAGTTCTAATTAAATTCCACATAGATAAGAGTTGATGAAAAGTACGGCTGATCTTTTGGAAGTAATAGATTTCTAATTTTTTTATGAGCCTTATAGCTTATAAAATATTATATATAACCGTATATATGAAAACATATATCATATAAATCAAACAAGTTGCATGTACTTTGTTTTATTTATTTACAACTATTAGTCGAATTACTTAAATTGCAACATAAATAAGACATTTATTTATGGAAGCATATATGTAAATAGTTACACATATATCTTATATTTACATAAATTTAGGTAGTAGTAACTAAAAATTTACCTTGACAAATTAGGCAAACAATTTAGTCTACAACTTCAATTTGAATCCCATCAATTAATAAAAATTTTGAGTCAGTAATAAGTAGAGTCAGTCAGTCATTATGTCGGTGTTGGCAGTTACGGTTCCTATATTCTGCAAGTTGTATAAGTAGATAGTATTTGCATTAGACATCAGTGGCAAATATTGCAAATAGCAGGATATATTTTCTATAGCATCCGTAAATATATGTCACAGCTGTTTAATATGGTTGCCATACCACATATCGCATATTTCAATAAAAGTTGGTAATAGGATAAATGGCTGAGATATCACTGCATTGGAAAAGGGTGCTAGGAGTAAAAAAAAAATTTCATGCATTTTTAGAGATTATATAAAAATATTTGAATAAAAGTTTTATTTTTTAAATTAATTGCTTGAGAATTCAGTACGAAGTAATTATATTCTAGCTTTTCTTTGAATATGAAATCAAATGGACTTAACATTCAAAGTGATATCGTACGATTACATTGGATCCATATTGTAAACTCTTGGTCTATGGAAACTTAGCAATAGAACGAATGCATTGCATTTTGTATTCTAAAAAAATATATATATAAATGAAAAAGATCTTTTACCTTCGAGTTTATTCATTTTCAATAGTTTCTACTTCCAATGACTGCAACAACGTTTATAGTTTATCAGTAGCGTTAAGATTTATTCCCAGCCTGTCGTTATTTCATGCCGTCAGAGACAGCTAAACGCCACTGTAAACTGCTGATATTTGGGTAATGGAAATTCTAACGACGGCGACGGCGACGTCGACGAGATGCTGCCCGCTTAGCTTTACGTGCTTTGCCGCGCTTTTTTTTATGCTTTGAGCACCTACAGGCATCTACAACTGCTTTGCTATTCTTTTTCTTACTAGGTTTTTTCAAACTACCACCAGCATTAACTTCAAAACCTTCCTTCGGCATTAAAGCCTCACGCACTTGTTTCGGGCTTAACTATTTAAAAAAGTTCAATTTTAATTTTTTATTAATATATATATTAGACATAAGTCATTATATGTTTTAATGTATTATATATAGTATATCTGATATATATTGTATTACAAATTTACATAATGGAACAATGGAAGAGGTAATACTAAGTACTACTAAGAGCGGCAACCCAGGCAAATGTAAGTATTAATGTGTTATGAGAAGTCAGAGTGGTTGCAGATAATATTACTTGGCGAAAATGTGGAGGAGACCGTCGGAAATAAGGAACTGAAGAATCGACACAACTTTTTTTTCTTAATTTATAACACGATTTACACTTTGAATTAAATAAGCATATATCATTACATTAACAATCTTACATATGTATTTAAATTTTTGTGATAGATTGTCGTAAAATAATAAAAGCATTATATTAATGATGTTAAATACATTGTGACCGAAAAGTTTCCGGTCACATAAATAAAACGCAAAATTCTTAATCTTCATCAATATTTATTTTATCTCCTTCAAAATATGCTCCATTAGAAGCGATACACAAATGCCAACGTTTCTTCCAATCATCAAAACATTTTTTATTGGCGCTTTCCGGTATGGCTTTGAGTTCCCTCTGCGAATTCTGTTTTTCGTCTTCTATGGATTCAAAACGCGTTCCTCTGAGTGGTAATTTGAGTTTGGGAAACAGGAAAAAGTCACACGGTGCAAGATCAGGTGAATACGGTGGCTGTTTGATGGTATTTATTGAATGTTTGGCCTTAAAATCGTTGATAATGTTGGCTCGGTGCGAGGGAGCATTATCGTCATGAAAAATCCATGAATTATCCTTCCACAATTGAGGCCGTTTACGGCGGATAGCTCTCACGACCGATGCCTAGCTCTCGTGCTATCTCTCTAACACTCACATGAGGATTTTGGAACACGATTTCCTTTGCCTTTTCAATGTTTTCGTCGGTGGTAGAGGCCGAAGGTCGTCCAGAACGCGGCATGTCTTCGACGGTCGTACGACCGTCCTGAAAGGCTTTGTACCACTCATAAACTTGAGTTTTCGATAAAACTGATTACCCATAAGCCTTTTGTAGCATTCGCAACGATTCTGCACACGAAATTTCGTTCGAAACACAAAATTTGATGCAAACTCTTTGTTCAATATTTTTTTCCATTGTTTTTTCGCAACGCACTACTGAGGGGAACTGGTTTCAACAGCTGCCGTAAACGAACTGTCTGACAGATCGCGCTCATTTTTGGCATAGTAATTAAGGACAGTGCTGCCAAACTACATAAACTTAAAATATCGAAAAATATACAGCGCGCGAATTTTAAATGAGAATTTCCGAAAGCTTTTCGGTCACAATGTATGTAATAGACTTCTTTTCTTATAATGGTGGAGTTTCTACTTTTGGTCGACTACGCGATATATATAAAAAATTTGCGCAATAGAACTATTTTTAGTGATATGACTCGCTGTCTCAAGGATAAATGAAAATAATTTAATATTTATTAATTGTTTGATTGCAATAAGCATAACTTAATAAAATATTTGGAATAATATATTTCGGTGCTACTGTGTGTCGTAAAAACCTAAAAAGACTTAATATTATAATGGTTATATATTTGTAATATTGCAAAAGAAATAAAAACGTTTTTTTATAGAAATGAAACAAATTTTTCACACACAAGAAGAGCAAAAAATGCCCTTACTTACCCCCATGTCCTTGCTAATGCGATCTATGGTTTCTTCGTTATTTGCTGGCGGTAATTGCTTTAAACATTCCAAAGCCCTGCTACGAGTTTCTTTTTTAAATTTCTCACAAGTTTCAAGCAGGCGTTTGTCAAAATGAATAGCTACTTCATCGCTTCCAGGATTAGGAAATTCACTATCTTTCAATACATAGGAGTCAGCAATGCTTTTCCGCCAGGATGGTTCGTTACTCATATAATCGCTGGAATCCATTGCAGAGAGAACTAACGAGTCCGAGACAGAGTTAGTAGCTGCCTCCTGACTGTCTTGAAATGTTGAAGTACAGGACTCAGTCATTTTGCACAAAAATGAGAATCCTAAAACGAAAAACCAAATAAGTGGAAAACCAATTTCTGTTTTTGTTGTTAATTACTTCCTCTATCGCTATTACTTTTGACAAAATATCGAAAATAGTTATTCAATTAAATTAAGTTATGATAGGTAAGATAAGCCAAATATAGAAAGTAATACAAAAATTATGATCCCAAATATAGCAAACACATTTAGCTTAAAAATTTTTTGTATGTGTGGAGAAAAAATTTTACTTTGACTTGTCACATTTAATTCATAAATTGAGGAAAATATAGACTACTTGATTATAATAGAGCCTGAACTTTGTGTAGGTCAACTAATAAAATATCTATCTTTTGATGCTTTAATAACAGCCATAAGGTGAACTACGGAATTGTGAATTGGGTGATACGGTTCTCCTACGGCTACATGCGTACGGCATTTATACATTTTAAACAATTATATACTTCTTCAGTTTTTGACGAAGCTTTTTATTATAAAAAAGTCTAGCACTTTTACTCTTTCTTAACTCGAGGTATTTTCATAATCCCTCTTTACGCCTTGACTAGATTATTGTTTATCACTTCATCTGACTAAACAATAATTGAACTCTTATAGGTATATCTATGGCGACTATTTAAAGTCCACCTATAGATTGTCTGCAATGGAACCTTATTGTTAACGAAAACCGCTAAGAAACCCTATAGGGTGGTCTCCAATGATCATTTGTTTTGATGTAAGATAAACGATAATATTAATACCACAAATAGGTCGTAAATCTAAGATCATCATTGTTATTCTTCTTATATGAGGTTTCTGTTTTTCTGATATTGGTTAACACAACTCTTATTACTGTGTCAGATCCATTATATTTGATCTGTGATAATAAATGTAATGGGTTACAAGATAAATAATTTCGTTTTTTCCCGACAGAGCACTTAAATATGTTTTCTCGCAACTAACTTCTCACAAGCTATATATATTACTGTAGAATTAATATTTTTACACGAAACAATGCCAAGTTCCTCAAGAGGGATGAAAAGCGACCATATATAGTCAAAATCTACTAAGATAATACAAAATGTCAAAACTGAGCTACGGGGTTGTCAATTCCGTAGTTTCGGAACTTATAACCTTATTACTTTCATCGATGTTGATCTGTCAGTTTTCAGAATTTCCAATAAAATCTTTTTAAAATCGTCTTTGTCATAAGACGCGTCCACTTCTGAGCATGCATACTCACATTGCGATCTTTGTAAGAATAATTTTTGCAATATGAAGTGGCCTTCTGTAAATACATATATATGAATATATGGTATAATATATGATATATAAAAATATGAATATGAATAAATATTTGTGTCTCTTGACCCTTACAGCAAAGGTACTACAATTATTTATTTTACATTCTTCTGATTGTGTTTTCAATCAGTTAAATGTAGTTATAATTAAATCTGATATCTAAATTTGTTAACCAACTGTTAAGTAATATTCAAATACTTCTCCCAATTAGGTATGTGTACACTTCTGTATTATATACAGCACATTCCAAAAGATGTTTGAAAAATTTGATAATGGTTCATAATGGAAAATGTGGGTCATGTACTACATGCACATGGAATGTAGTATTAGATAAATGCATTATTTTCGATTTCTTTTTGTAACTCATTGTAGTTAAGTTTAAGTACCTATTAATTAAAAAAAATCGAATTCTTAATTTTAGTGGTACAATTTAGTAAAATGACAAGAGAAGAATATAAAGTATATCATTTATTCCACGAGCTCGAAACAGAAAAACCTTATTTGAAATTAGAACAAACGTGCTTTAGATAAGAAGATATTTATCTAACCAGAGGAAATAAATAAAAACCTTGATTATAAGGAAAAAAAGTATGATAGAGCAAAAATAAAAATAAAAAAGTATATCCAATTAATACAATTAGGTTCATATTTTTTGAGTGAGTAATTCATCGCCAACTTAAGGTTATTTATTTTACTCTATGCAGTACTTGTAGGGCTATGTTTAAGACTACAGGTTATTAGTCATATCTATAGAGTAGCAATTCATAGAGTCCTAAGCAATAAAGACATCAAAAACTAAATTTTTATATTAGAATAAAGATGTGAGTTGAAGTCCTTTATTATGACAAACTACAAAACTTAAAAAGGCTACAGAAGATATGCTTAAATACGTGACAAATTCAGATATATTATATCTGTAAATCATTTTTCTATTGATGAAATTAAAAATATATTAAAATGCTGTTTGTTTAAGTTTATATCTCATGACAAATTTCCTTTTTGAAATATATATTTCTGTTTCATTACTGAATCTCAAATAATGTGTTTTTTTATAGATTGCAGCGATAACTGAAGGGTTTCTGATATTGTCATTGTTTGACATATTTCGGCTGACTTGTAAGAAAAACTTTGCGAATACAAAAACATTCGAATTTTTAAATGAGTCCAAGCACGTCATATTTCGTGAATTGTATATTTTCCTCGACATTGTTATTCCTTCCATTGCTTGGCTCATTTTTTGCTATTTTTTATCTTTTCTGCCTTCATTATTTGTTTGTTTTATATAGGAATATTTGAAGGATATTCTTTGTTGTATCGCACATTTTTTTCATTTCTTCTGTTTTTGTATCTCTAAGTTCGTTAGCGATTTTTTCCAATTATTTTTATGGAAATTGGGTTGCTTAGTATGACATGTTAAAGAAATAAAGTTCGGATGTAAGTAGAACTGAAGCAGATACAAACAATCACATTCACTTAACAAATATGAGACCAAAGTATAGAAAATAAAAGAAACCAATTTCAGTAAGTGATACGTTTTGAGATACAATTGATTTTTCCTTCAAGGTAACAAGAATTAAGTGTCAACTTAAACAGTGGAAAGTGATTTCATTTGCGAAACAAATATTTGTTGCCAACTGATTCGGAAATGTTGAATTCAAAATTTAATGTTAATTTTAATGTATTTGAAAGGGATGAAAATATTTATAGTATTTGTTCAGAAACTATAAAAAATAATTAAAGTGATTTAAACAATTTTTAATTAATTGAAGATCATGACGAAGGTCAGCATTTCGCACATACAACGGAGCGTTAACTGCATCCCTGAGTGCTTTTTTTTGCAATCTTTGTATTATATCTATAGTATAATTTTGTGCATAACCCCAAATCTGACTGACATAGGGTCATATAGACTTGAAGACTTATTTATATATCATAAGTTTGTTTTGCTGCGATAATTTGAATCTCCTTCTAATAAGCCAAGTTAAGTTTTGTGGATTTGATATGTGAGTTTAGTGAGTTAGTAGTAGGGCATTTAGGTTCATACCCAGATATTTCACAGAATTAGCAACAGGAATTTTTACGCTATTTAGAAATGATGTAATTTGTTGTTTGTTTCTTTTTTGTTACTAAAGTCAACGTAGTTAGACTTTGAACACGGTCAGTTTCAATTTATTAGTCTATTGTTCAACTTCCAATAAAACGGTTTATAGGTTGTTATTTGGACCTGTAGCCATTATTACCGTATCATCTGCAAAAATTCAGACAATTTATCTTGAGTTCAGTGGCAAGTCATATGTGTACAGCAGGTACAACAAAGAGCTTAGTATACTAATAATCAATATAAGTGCAATAAACATAAGTGTGTTTTATGAGTATTGAAGCGTTTAGATAAATAATTGGTTGTCTTTAATGATATACAGAGTCCTTTCCTTTCCACTTGAATGATTTAAAATTTTTTTATATATGAAGTCATAATCGTATTAATGTCTTTTTTCACATACCAAGTAAGAGTCCTTTTCGTATATGTGATTCACGTATTTATGAATATATTTGTTGTATTTCTTTGATATGTACGACTGTAAAGAAAGTCTAATATCGCTCTTGGCACAAGCATTTATTTTAATAAATTTTAATCAAAAACGATCAGATGAAGAAAAATGCAGAAAAACTAAAAAAATCAGTCCAGGACTTGAGCTTTCATTTAAACTTCTGAATTAAGTTTACAACAAAATAAATTTTGTTTTGAAGTAATTGTTTTCGTGCGAAATATTGCAGAGCTGGCAGCTTTCAGAAAAACGTGTAAATAGCAATTTCAGTTTCGCCGAAAATTTTCATAAATTCAGAGAAATATCGAATCTGTTTTGTTTCATACTTCAGGCAGCAAATGAAATGCTCCACAAAAGTACGCACGTTGCACCGAAGGATGTTTATTTTACTGGCACATAAAATGTGAAATTCACACACAACGAGCTGTGCAAATATATGCATTTACAGATGCATTGGTGTGAGGATATAGCAACACATCAAAGTTTATACTTTCAAAAGGACTACTTTGTATATTAGTTTTCATTAATATTAACAGATTCAAGGCAATAATAAGCAATTGAGCGTTGTTAATACTGTTGAAAGACGCCTTTAAGCTCATATATTCAAGTGAGGCACACATTGAGTCCTTGATCAATTATTTAGTAAAGCAAACCCAATAACGTGTGAAAAATATACAAAGGTCAAAAGGAGTTTAAGTACAGTTTTTGAATACCACTGTTGGAGAAAAATATTTTTAATTTTATTTAATGATTATTTTTTACTCAAATAGTTTAATTTAAAAATGAGCAAAATTATATATTCGAAAATTTTTTTTTATTTATCACATCAACTGCTTTTTATGTTAGTTTATTTAGATAGTTTTACTAAGATCGACAAATATGCCTAAATAAGTTCTATTTTTTTAACAAAATCGGTATAAAAATGTGCTGAAGTGGTAGGACAAGTACCAGTGCAAACCTAGTACAAGTTCGTAATTGCTGGAAAGAAATTTGTCAAATCCAAACAAAAATATGTTTGCTTCTAAGTTTCACGGAACGGAAGTTTAATTAAGCAATTTCTACAGTATTTCACAGACTTAAAACGAAACTCATATATCTGTCATTCTAAACATACACAATATTTTGTTTTTATCCAGATGTTCAATATCATGAAATTCTCTGCCCTTTCCACTGCTCAGCAGCATTTTTGGTTATATCTCAAGTATATGATCGTTTATGGCACCAAAGACCTCTTTTCAAATCCAAAAAGCTTCTGCTTTTTACTTCATAAAATCCTATCCATTGAAAAGAATTTGTCAAGTCAACAACAAGAATGAAATGTCTTCTTTTTATGATATTAAAGCTGGAGTACAAAAAGGCAGTGTCGAGTACACTTCTTTA